ATAAAGAGCTGGGATACTCTGAAGAATGGAAGATATAGGAAAAAGAAGAAAAAGAAAAGAACAGAGAAGACAAGAAATTCTAGGCTAATCACACTATTATTTGGATATTTCATTTTGTTGAAAATACCAAGTTTGGCCACTAACTAAATTTCAGCTTGAATTATTTTATTCCTGACTCCTTAGTATACCCAACCATGGCATATGCTTCCCTAGTGGAGGAAATATTAGTAAAAGACACTGTCCCTGCCATTGAAAGATTTAAAATCTACTTAAGACATGAGTTTTAAAGATAGAGAAATAATTGTAATCCCTTTATCGTTTGTGGAGCATTTATATATACCTTACCCATTTGACCTTACAATGATCCAGGTAGGGAGGATGGGAGGGAGGGTTTTTATTATCTCCATTTTAGGAATGGTGATCAATATTGAAACTCATACAGAAGAGTGATTGAATCAAATTTGATCACAAAATATATTTGACTAAATATATTTTGTAACAGTTCATGTTTCTCCCGTAAATCCCGTAAATTTCAAGTGAATAATATCTAGAAATGTTTTAAATGTCTATACCCTGTTGGCAAAGAACTGACAAAAGCTACTATTGTAATTATTAACATTGTATGTAAAATAAATAAAATTAACAAAGGGAAAAATATATGGTATGGTTAACTTAAATATTTTTATAATTTGCATTGATAGAGGAGTTCTACTACTTACTGAAAACACATTCTATAACTGATGAAAATGTAGGCCTATTTAAACCCTTGCTGTTTTTCCTTTTCATCGCTTTTTATATGAATATGTGTTGTAGCAATCCATAGCGTCTCCCATTGGCTCTGATCTAAGAGATGCCCAGGTGGTCTCTTACCTTGCACATTTCCAGTAGCGTTTCACTGCTGTGCTTCATGGGGTGCTCAGTGAAGGTGGCGTATGGAACCTCAGTGGACCATGGGTTCCAGCGGGACAGCAGAGACGGCTCTCCCATGTTCCCCCAATAGATCCGAAGGCCTTCTCCCTGCCTCCTAAAAAGGAGAAAGCTTCCATGAGTTTAGCCAGTATAATACTAAAGGAAAGATAGGAAGGAAACATAATACCTCAGTCAATCTTTGGATAAGTGTCTCATTCCTTTATGAAATGAATTATATCAGAAAATTCAGGAGGTAAGAAAATAATAAATTTAATCGAAAACACGATGAGTTCAAGCTGTTCTTGAGAATACCATACGAAGATAGTTAATTGGAAATGTGGCTTCGATGTTCAAGATAGAATCCAGATCTGGAATATGAATGTTGACCTTGTGCTCATGGGCTGAGTTATGGATAACAGTGAAAGCCCCAAAATCCATTGGCAGAGTCCCCACATGGATTAAGTCTCCATTGGAAACCTTTGGACCATTGAGCATGGATACGAATAGTCTTGTCCTCAGACAGAGAGCAGTAGAAGGTGGTCTACCTGCAGATATCGTCAGGTTAAAGGTCAACATCGTACCCTTTATTTGCCTTTTGGACCCATTTATAACTTGTTTTGACTCATTTTTTTGCTTTCTTTTGGATAGAGTTTTTTATGTGCTTTATTTTTTTGTTGTTAAGGTTTTTTAAAATATGATTTTCTTTATATGAAAGGCAAGCTACAGAGATCATAATTAGATTAATTGCTTCTCAGGGTTATGCATGAAAGGCTCTCTACTCTGGTAACCAGTTATAGTCTCAGATACTCACAGGGCCAATTCTAACTTGTCCTATAGGGTCGCTAGGAGTTGACATTGATTCTCTGGAATCGATTATTTATTTATTGAGAGAGATGACAGGAGAAGTTCGTGGAAAACGGAGAACTAATCATCATAGATTCAAGAATGCAGAAATTTGTCTAAAATTGTGGTGGTGACTGCACAACTTTTAAAACATATTTAAAACATTGGATTGCACTATATGTGAATTCTATCTCCATAAAATGGTTAAATAAAAATTAATTTAATTTAAAAAGAAGGTATTATGATCCCAGTGTCCCACCCCCGCCAAAAAAAAAAGGAAAAGAAAGAAAGAGCTGAGACAGTCAAGGCAGAAACCAGTTTCAGGAACAAGAAAGGGATACTAGTGAGAGCATCCACAAAGTAGTCAATGCAAGTGTGCCTAAGAACAGACACAACTCCAAACGCACTGGCACCGAGTCAGTGCTGACTCATAGTGACCCCCTGTGGGTTTCTGCGACTGTAATTACTGATGGGAGTAGAAAGTCCAGTCTTCTCCTCGAGCTGCTGCTGGTGTAGCACTGTCGATCATGCGGGCCACGGCCTACCGCGTAACCACTACACACCAACGTGCCTGAGAACAGAACATAGGAGCTGTGATTTGTCTTTGAGAGGGGTGATGAGAGATTCAAAATGCCCTCTGACCTCAGCTTGTGTATTGCATGCTTCTTTAATTTCTGCACACATTTGGCCCATTGAAATTGCAGCAACCAGCATGTCAAAGTTCACAGGGAAACTGCCTCGCTCTCCCTAATAGATTCACAGCTCTGGCAACATTTAGAAGGGAAACACTAAATGATACACCAGCTCCTCCAGTAAGCCCAAGTGCACAGCAGAAAAAGTCAGCTTGGGAGTTGGGGGAGGAAGGTCCCGGGAGGGGAACATGATCACACCAGCCCCAAA